CCATCGGCTCCACCAGCGCCAGCCTCAGCCCTCCCTCTGGTCTTCTTCCCAATAGGTGCACATCATTGGCCACATCCCCCCCTCCCACTGCATGCGCTCCTGGGGCTGGAACTACTACCGCATCATCAACAGGTGAGCAACTCTGCCCTCCCCCTTCCCATCGCTCTACCTGGTCATGCTGTTGTCTTGGGCAGGAGAAGGTAGGCACTGCCCCACCCCCAAAGAACAGTGCCACCACATGCGGGGGGGGGCAACAGAGGGAGTCTGCCTGAATTGCCCTCCACTTGTCCCAAGGAGGGGGCCAAGGGTGGCTCCCTCTGGCTGACCCAGGGTCCGGGGGGGGGAAGAGGGTTGCATCAGGGTAGGCACTTTGGTCTGTTTTATTGGTGGGGGGGATGTGGGTTGGCTTTTGGCAATAGAGCAGAAGGATTGGCGGTCCTTTTTCGGTGGTGGTGGGGTAAGTAATCCTCAGTCTTTGTCCTCAAACTTTCCCTTTCTTCGGGACAGTGTGGAAGCGGCACCGGGCGAGGTGGGATCAGGGGGTCAAAGTGCTCTGCAGCCCTGAACCTGACCCACCCCAGGCGCAAGGCGCATGCCAGGAAGGCATGGGGAGAAAACGGGTTCCTCCCGACGGGCTGGGTGGCCGATCTTGCAGCCCACGCACCCCGCTCGCTCGTGGGGCCGCCGGTCTGCGTCAGGGAGAGGACCCGCAGGCTGTTGGGCACAGGGTGGGTGGAAATGCTCTCAGAAGTCAATGAGGGCCCTTTTCCTTAGGGAGGGGCGCCTCCCTCCCACCCCACCTTTCACCTCTGAGCCAGGAGTGGAGCCCCTGAGAGCAGATCCTTTGCAGACACCAAGCTCCCCCCCCTTCAGGTGAGGCCGTGAGGGTCCAACACGCCCCCTCTGCTCTGCAGGTGTTTCTGGGTGCCTCCTTCCTCTCCCCCCCCCACAACCTTACAGACACTTCCCTGCACCCACCCCTGCTCGAGGACAGGGTCCGTCGCCCTCTCCTCCCCTCCTCTTCCCCTCCTGTGGCACCGTGGCTCTCTAGGCGCAGGCGAGGGTCCCTGCTCACCCTGCCTGAGTTTCCCAGGCTGAGGGGAAAGCTTGGGGGCAGCATCCGCCACCGGGGGCACCTCTCCACCCCACCCCACCCCACCCCGCTAACCTCTGCCTGGCCCCTGCAGGTTCGAAGGCACTGTGGCTGGGCAGTTTTTTGGTCACACCCACGTGGATGAGTTTGAGCTGTTCTATGATGAAGAGACCCTCTCCCGGCCCTTGGGGGTGGCTTTCGTGGCCCCCAGCGTCACCACGTTCATCAGCCTCAACCCGGGTGAGTCGCTGTGCTGCTCATGGATGGTAAAACCCTGGGGGTCCAGAGGGCCCCCCCCCAGGCCCAGCGGGTCCTGCTCTTCCCTCTTGGACACCGTGGCGTGCACTGGGGTCGGGTGGGGGTGCCAGGGTGGACCCTCCCTTGTCTTCCTGGCAGGACCAGGCGCGAGCAGCTCCTGACCGCGGCGGTGGCCTCCCGGCTTTCCCTTCCAGGCTACCGGATCTATCTTGTGGACGGAGTCTACCCAGGAAGCTCCTACATGGTGCTGGATCACGAGACATTCATTCTGAACTTGACGCTGGCCAATGCGCCCGGGGCGACACCGCAGTGGCAACGCCTCTACGGGGCCCGGGAGACCTATGGCTTTGCCACGGCCTTCCCGGCCGACTGGGACCGGCTGCTCCAGCGTTTCCAGGTGGAGGAGCCCCTCTTCCAGCGCTTCTGGTACCTGCTCTACAAGGGCCACCCGCCCCGCGAGCCCTGCCAGGACGTCTGCAAGGCGGCGTTGCTCTGCGCCCTCCGCACCGCTCGGGCCGATGACCCGAAGCTCTGCCAGCCCTTGGCCTCCAGGTTCTCCTTCTTCGAAATCCAGGGCTGGTGGAGGCGGCAACGTTTCTGCTAGCCCCCCAACGCCTGCCCCCCCGCCCTGCCCCAAGAAGCAGCCCTGCGGAAGGGGCGCAGCGATTCGTTCACGGACCTTCGTGCTCGGTGCACTTTGTGGTTTGCTGTGGTTGAGGAGGCTTGCCCCCACCCCACCTCACCTCACCCCCCCCAACGCCTGCCCCCCCGCCCTGCCCCAAGAAGCAGCCCTGCGGAAGGGGCGCAGCGATTCGTTCACGGACCTTCGTGCTCGGTGCACTTTGTGGTTTGCTGTGGTTGAGGAGGCTTGCCCCCACCCCACCTCACCCCACCCCCCCATGCCAAAGGCTGTTGCCAGAGGGCACGGTGGGGATGATGGGGAACGATCCACATTGCCTTCCCCTCCATGGAGGCAGGAGGGGGGCATGTCCGGGAGGCGCCCTCTTTCCTTTGCCCTTCCTGCTTGGGGGGGGGCACAAAGGAGCACCTGGACTGGACCAAGAGCAGCAGGGCTGCCAGGGGTGGGGTGGGGCTGCCGTGGTGGCTCTGAAGCAAGAAAAGACACACCCAGACACACGAAGACCCTTTGCCCCACGAGTTCTATTTCTAGAATTCTCCCCAGCTTCCTAGACTCAACCAAAAGGCCTGACAAGGGAGGCACTGCCAGGCCACTGGTATGGGGCATGTGGGCCGAGGGGTGGCGCACATACTTCCTTCATTCCCCCCCCCCGTGCCTCTTGGGGCTGCGGTCAGTCGGCCTCCTTTTAGCCAGGTAAGGGCCCTCAGTCAATCCCCTTAGGCTCAGACCTGCCACAAGAGTCTTAAAATGTACTTGTGGGCTCCCTACCCCCACCACTGCCAACTGACCCACCCCTCCTACTGTGGCCACTCTGGCCCTTCTTTGGTCTTTGCGGGGGTGTGTGTGTGTGTCAGAGTCCTTGCCCCTGCACTGAGCCAGTCTCTTGCACCAGCAATAAAGGCCTTCTGCTTCTGCCTCCGAGGACGGCCGTCTCCCCCTCTTTTTTCTGAACGGCTCCATGTGTGTGTGTGTGTGTGAATGGTTGGGGAGGGACAGAGGAGGCTTTCTCCCCCCCCCCACTTCAATGGCCCAAGCGGCAGGCTTGAGCCCTCCTCACAGCCCAAGGCAGGGGGTTATCGGAGCTGGTTGGGGGTTGCGTAAAGTGCGCCCCCCTCCCACCCCATTCCCTCGTCCAAGACGAATGGCCAGAGGCTGAGTGAGGTGCCGGCCCCACCCTGGCTAAGGGGGTCTGGCCTGTTTGCCAGGAGGAGGTGCTGGGGGTCCCATTTCACTCACAGCCATACACATCCCCAAGCCCCCCCCCCCCCGCAGCAGCTGCACCCTCCGTTTTCACTCAGAGAGGGAAGACATGGGCCGCCCCGGCCAGTGGCCCCACCAGTCGGCTCCCCCCCTCCCTCCAAGAAGGATGCCACGGAGTCATGGGAACGGAGTTTATTAATGATTTTAGTACAACACAGAGAGCTCTCTTGTTACAGCCGGGGGGGGGCAGTAGCAGTAGCTCCCCCTCCCACCCACAAGGGCCTCAGTCT